TTAAAAAAATGTGCATTATATATCACATTAAAAGTGCATTGAATTATAATGTTCGAGTGACGCAGCAGAAAAATAGATATTAAAATTCCTTGTAAGGGAAGTCACTAAATCGAGGCGGGACTGCCTGCTGCTGTGAGATAGTCAAGATGTGGCCTGCTGGCTTCCAACGTAATTCGGTTTTTTATCAGGCGAGACCAAATAACACTGAGTAAAATGAACTGGTGCATTCACAGATGAACAATTCAGAATAAGCAGTCCAGAATGATGCGATTGGCACTGCGAAGCTTTAACCATGAGCGAAATTACGTTACAAAAACCATATCCAGATTCGATGATAGCAGAGCATCGCTAACTAGTGCTGTACTCAATCAGATCAAGATGTTCCTCCAAAGTCCTGTCTGCAAATGGATCGTTCGCCGCGCCGTAAATTTCACGTGCCATAAATGACAACTCAGCTCGAGCTTATGGACCACTTAAGGTAATTTGGTTCAATTTCTTGAGTTCGTTTTGCTATCAATGATTTGTTAGTTAATTTATATAATTCTGTTTTTACTAAAAAATCAGCATTCTTTGGCGATCATATTCAAGCAGTAAATTTTTGGTATTAAGCTTCTACGGTTAATAAGGACGGTTGGTAAGTGACCTAGCTGAAATCTAAATCCAAAATCTTAGTAATATCACTTCGATGCTACATCTTTTAATTTGCAAAGACAACGATGTTGATTGTAATCTAGATTTGATGAGCAGTTTTGTTTAACAGCAAAATCAGTGAAAATTTATCAAAAATGCATCAACATAAAACCAAGCGAACAGTCTAAACATGAAATTCAGTATATTTAAACCTTAACTTGAAAGCAACAACCAAAAAGTAAATAATTAAGAAATTAGTTCGCTCAATCGAAAACCATTTATTTTCGAGGCTGCTGAATGTGGCGATTAACAGTTACATGAGGCTGCTGAAGAGATGGCATTGGCAATTCATGGAATGACTTAATCGCTTCTGGTGGAAAATCTTTGTTTCCCTTAAAGTACACAATCAGTCGACATAGATGCAAATTCGAAACCCGTACCCGAACTGGAACGCCAGATATGATCAATTTTTGTTCGTCGTTCGGATTTCTAAACGATTCGGCATTAACGCTGTAATCACTATTAAACTGCTTAAATATGCAGAAACACAGAGCAGGTTCCTACTAGCAAACAAATTCAGCAACAGATAAAAACAGAAATCTTCACAAAAAATTAGTCTTG